GGGGACAAGAGGGGGCGGGTGCAGGGAGGCAGCAGGGGCAGGAGGGAGGTAGCCGCTCCACTCATGAGAAGTTGTAAAAGCATGTTAGAGTTAACATGGAAAAATGAGGCTTCTAAGATTTGTCTGTCTTGATAACGTGTCTGAGAGAAGACTGAGTGGCCGGTGGATGTCAGCACATCTCTGTGCTTATACCCTGGCAAACATCCGCTTCTAGGGTGGACAGCTGCAAAGAGCTCAGGTAGGGGGACGGAAGGTGGAGGGGTGAAGGATAGGGTGTGGACAGAGGCGGTCCATCATACAGTCATGCCATGAGGTGTACAAGGAGTAAAGGTGAGAGCGCCTGGCTCCTCACGGACCGAGAGGAGGGGGAGGGGAGCGGATCCCAGGGTGGGGACAGGCTGGGGACTGAGGACCAGAGTCTGATCCTCAGGGCCTAGGTAAAAGCTGGTGGGGCTGCACGCACCTGTTACCAGCACAGGGAGGTGGAGACAGGAAGAGCCCGGGACTTGCTGGCCACCAGGCTAGATAAACTGGTGAGCTCCAGGTCCAGGGAGATGGTCAAAAAATAGGAATGATTGAGGAAGACCCCCCAACCTGTGCACATATACGTTCACACACCCACAGAACAGAGTTGGCCTGCTGACCAAGTAAAACTCAAGCCAACCGCATGAGGCAGAGGTCTGTGGTGAGGCACTGCCATATGCAGGTATTTCCATTTGTGTCTCCACTGCCATGACAAAACACTCTGACCACTACCAGCTTGGGGAGGAAAGGGTTTATTCAGCTTACATCTCCCAAGTCACAGTTCATCAGGGAGCCCAAGGTAGGAACTCAGGGCAGGAACATGGAGGCAGGAGCTGGAGCACAGGCCACGAAGGAACGCTGCCTACTGGCTTGCTCCCCTGGTCCATGCTCAGCTTTTGTTTTTATTATTATTACTATTATTATTATTTTATGTATATGAATGTATTGCCTGCATGTATGTGGAGTATACCCGTGTCGTGCAATGTCCATGGAGGACAGAAGAGGCTGTCAGATCCCCTGGAACTGGAGTTATAGACAGTTGTTAGCTGCCATGTGGATGCTGGGATTGGAACCTGGGTCCTCTGTAAGAGCAGTCAGTGCTCTTAACTGCTGAGCCATCTCTCCAGCCCCTCAGCCTTCTTTCTTATCCAACACAGGCCCACCTGCCCAGGGGTGGCACTACCCACAGTGGGCTGGGCCCTCCCACATCACTCAACAATCAAGAAAATCCCCCACAGACGTGGCCACGGGCCAGTCCAGTGGAGGAAGTTCCCCAGTTGAGGCTTCCTCAGCCCAGGTGTGTGAGGCTGATACTAAAGTGTCCAGCACACAGGTCCTGTGGAGGCCCTGCCTCTGTCCTTCGCAGTTGTTGGTGTGCGGAGCCCACACAGGAAGCCTGGGCAGTGCAGCAGGGGTCCCTCTGTGAACAGTCTGGGGTTTTCACCAGATGCCGCCAGGCCCTGGTCTTCTGGCCCTTTGCAGGGTTTGGTTTGGCTGCATGGATGAGTCTGCTTCTTCTTTTTTCTTTGGGGGGTATGTACATGTGCGTACGTATATGTGTCTGTGTGTGTAGGCATGAATGTTTGTGTCCATGTGTGTGCAGACCAGAAGTCAAGGTCAGTGTCTTCCTCAATCACTTTCCCACTTATTTTTGAGCAGGGTCTCTCACCAAACCTGGAGCTCACCCATTAGGCTAGACTGTATCTCCAGGAAGCCCAGGGCTCCTCCTGTCTCTGCCTCCCCAGGGGTGGGACTCCAGTTACAAGCCTCCACACCTGGCTTTTTACGTGGGTCTGGGGATCTGAACTCAGGTTTGCATAATGTTTCCATGGCAAACACTTTATGAGCTAAGCCATCCTCCAGCCCCATGTTGGTTGGTTTTTTGAGACAGACTCTCACTCTGTAGCCCAGGATGACCTTGAACCACCTAGCCCAGGCTGCCTGAAAACTCTCAGCAACCTTCCACCTGAGGCCTCCCAGGTGCTGGGACTTCAGGCATGTGTCTACACCTGACTGTGTTTGACATCGTTTTGTCCTCTTAGAGACCCGACAAGGTAGGCAGTGTTTCATTTAACAAATGAGCGGGCTGAGGCTCAAGAAATGTTCCGAATTTCTTCAAGTTTGAGCTTGTTACAGAGCTGGTGAGAGGTGGAGGCAGGCTTCTAACACAGGCAGGCAGGGAGGGGAGATCACACTGCTGGTTAAGCTTTAACCTCCTTAAATAGTTAGAAAACCTCCCCCTGAGTGCTGTAAACCCTCACCAGAGAGAAGGAAGTGAGACTTCCCTGTTCCTCCCCTGCAGAGACAGTCAGCAAGCCAACCAAGTAGCACACTCCCGGAGGATTCTCCTGGAAGCAATGGGCAAGCACCAGCGTGTCCTGTGGACCGCTGCATCCCAAACACAAATCCACCTGAGCATCCTACATGTTCATCCACTCATCTGGCAGCGTCCAGCTGCAGGTGCGATGGCGATTCCCACTGGAAACTCTAATGCTATGTGGGGCTGTGCCATGAAACCATATGCACAATGAAACAAATCTATGTGCAGGTGTGAGAACATTCTAGGCTTGGGGAATCTCCCACACAGTAACAGTGGGGAATTCTTGAACAACTCACAAATGACTAAGGAATAAGATTGATGATACAGGAAAGGGTCCCACAATCAAGGACTTGACCCATACAGATCCAAACAGGCTGCAGAGGGCTGTGGAGGACAGAGGTTAGCACTCATAGAGCAACTGGTGCTGAGCACCAGCCTGACAGAGCAGGCATTCAAGGACTGTGGTGCCAGGTGCCAGGCAGTGCCTGAGAGCAAACCACCCTGACATGGCATGGCAGCTGCCCCGAGAGGAGGTGCTTCATATGGGGAAGACAACTGGCTGGCGAGAACACTGTTCTAAGGAACAATCCAGAAAAACACTGTTCAGGGATAGTCAGGCTCTGCCACCCCTGTAAGCACAACTAGGCTGCCAGGAAAGTCCCATCTGCTTTCCAAAAAGGCCTGGAAAACGTTCCCCCCTTCCCTCCCTCTCTCCCTCTCTCTGTCTCTTTTTTCTTTCTCTCTCCCTGTGTTTCTCTTTTCTTCTCTCTTTCTTTGCCTGTCTCTTTTTTCTTTCTTTTTCTCTCTCTGTCTCGCTGTGCCCTCGGTGTGTGTGTGTGTGTGTGTGTGTCTGTCTGTCTGTCTGTCTGTTCTTAGAGAAGGAAGAAGAAAGCGTCTAGATGGCTTCTATGTTTCATGACTACAATACCAGATATGTGTGTGTGTGTGTGTGTTTCCCCTGCAACCCAAACATTTACATGTGCACACACATAAAATTTAGAGGCTAGGATACAATAGTTAAGCTTATCAAGCTAAATTAGAGCTCTTAGAAAGAGAAAGGAAATAAATCTAAGCAAAACATGTAATTTTGAGGTCAGGAAGATGTCCCAAACAAACCAGAGTAAAGCTTACAAAATTTTCTGGGGGGAAGTAACTGGCTGATTGGCTCATTTAAAATGTCTAGGTGAGCACGTTTCCTGTCAAGTCTAACTGCATCAGGGGCATCAGCGGGAAATCAAGGACTCCCGGTACCTTCCGTCCACGTCCTCGATGTCGCGTATGAACAGCCCCCCTTGGTGCTTGCACAGATTCTTGCACGCCTTCACGTGGTCCTTGTGCTTGAATAAGATGTACTCTTTGCCAGTGCTCTTGTTTCCAAAGAAATTGATTCCTTCCTTCAGGGTGGCAACTTCAGCGGGTGACAGGGACAGCAGAATCTCTGCTGTCTGCTTCACGCTGGGGAGAGCCGACCATTGGGAGGGGCATTAATAGCATCCCCGCACTGACAGCTTGAACCTCCCCTTCAGTAAGACTTAAACTCTCCCTCCAACACCCCAGGCTCATGGCCCCCTAATGGTGCGACTGTTCACCCTCCAGTGCTGCAAATAGGCACCTTTCTTTGCTGGAGACCTGACCCCCACTTGCCTGTCCATGCCTGCCGGCTCCCGGGTATTTCAGGGCAATTGCGGGTGTTTCTTCCACTCCAATGCTCTTTAGCTCACGCGAGGCGAGGAGGTCCACTGCCTGGAGAGAGAATGTTTACCCCAGTTCACTATTTCCGCTGATACCGTTTCCTCCTTTACCACACCTCTTTGAAAAGCCTAACCCTGTATTTGGTCCAGCTTTCTCCACGCTCCAGGCTTTTGAGTCCGACCTCCCTCAGCCTCAGAGGCAGGTTCAGTCCATCATCACTCATCAGCCTAGGTTTAGATAGAGCCTGCCCCTGCTTGGTCAAGCCTCCTAGGACACCTCCCAGGACCAGCCAGGACTCTGCATCCCCGCCTAGCAGCACCTGGCATGCTGCCTGCCGCTCACATGTGGACACTTCCAAGCTGTCTTCCCAGGTCTTCTCTCCCTCCAGTAGGCAGACTGCCTCCCGAGCTGTCTTCATCAGTTAGGTGTTTGACAAATTAACCCTCTGGACACTCGGTTGGGATGACTTACAGAAGCTCTAGCATCAAAGGAGGCCTCAGAACTCGGATTTTACATCTCTTCAAGCCTGTTTCTAAAAGGGCACTCCCTACGGGACACTCTGAGCCGCAATGGAGTCTAAATTCTGCCAAGAGCTTTGCAAAATCTGGGTGCATATCATTTAATCTTAAAACGCCCAAATTACCTCCTGGTTTTAATTTTAAAAAAAAATGAGCTCAGGCTCTCTTGGGGGCAGTTTTCACTTTCATTTTTAGGAGTTCTGCAAGTCTCTTAGAGAATAAAAATAATTGAAAAAACTTAGGGAGTAGACTAACCCTAACACCTCTGATTCTAAACCCGGGAGGGCGTGGCTCTGTGAAGGACATACCTCGCAGAGGATCCCAGCTGCCCCTTCTGTCCCAAACTCCTTGGAAATTCTATTCGCAACAGACTTGTTATTTCAAAGGTATACTTTAAGTAAATTTGCTAAGAAGAGGTCTATTCTAAGCCTTGTAAATCCTTATTTTGTCTCTGTTCTCACCAGTATCAGTATCTAATCCCCAAAGCAGGCGCGACTCCTGCAGCGTTTAAAGAGTAAACGTGTTCAGCTGTTTTGTTTTGCCTGCACGGAGCCGGCAGCTCCAACTCTGGGTTAGATCTCCAGCCGTGCCACCTGCTGAAGAAAGCAGGAAGGAGCCCCTGCATCTGCCTCAGCTGTGTGTGAAACCACACTCAGCAGCCTAACGCAAAAGAAAAACGAAGTTTATAAGCTGCTTGGTGTTTTGTTTTGTTTTGTTTCGTTTTGTTTTGAGGCGGGGGCCTCATAGAGCCCAGGATGGCCTTGGGTGAAGGTGAAGATAACCTTGAACTCCTGCCTCCACCTTCTGAGTACTGGGATTATAGGCGTGTTTCACCCTGTGTACCTATGCATGTACCTATAAGTACATGTGTTTATGTGTATTTTTGAGCAACTCATTTTACTCTAAATATTTTAGAAGATATTAATTTACTTCCACTAAGATCAGGAAAATAAAATTATTGTAAATTTTAGTTGGGTGCAAATATACTTGATTACTTTAATACACCTATTTTTCAATGCTTCAATATTTTCAGACAGTTAAACGGTCTTTATAAATGACCATTACAAGGGCTGGGGATGTGGCTTAATTGGTAGGGTATTTGCCTAGCATGTACAAAGCTCAGGGTTTGACCCCCAGCACCCAGTAAACTGGGCAGGATGGCACAGACCTGAAGTCAGGAAGATCAGAAGTTCAAGGTTATCCTCAGCTACATAGCAAGTTAGAGGTCAGCCTGGACCAATTAAAAATAATCATTACAGTGGCTGGGCTGGAGAAATGGCTCAGCAGTTAAGAGCACTGGTTGCTCTCGCGGAGGACGTGGGTTCAGTCCTCAGCACAGTAACTCCAGTTCTGGGGATTTGAGCCCTCTTCTGGCCTCTTCAGGCACAGCACACATGTGGTATATCTGTAAAGGCAGGCAAAACACTCATACAGATAAAACAAAAATAACCCTTACAGAATAAAAGACCATTATCTAGGAGATATATTTTTCTTTTACCCTCTAGTTGGTGGCTTGTAACTCCTAAGTTCTTGGTATTTTGTTTGTCAATAGGGTTTTTGTTTTTGAGAATATTTGTGCTTTGATCATTGGTTTTATTGACATTCTTGAAATTTTACATGATGGGATGTGTTTCATTTGGCTGGTCCTAATTGCTCTGACTTTTTAAAGACACCGTCTCACCATGTATGCCGTGTCTTAGCCTCCTGAGTGCACTGCTACATCACCACACCGACGTGTGTGTGTGTGTGTGTGTGTGTGTGTGTGTGTGTTGCTGTGGATCAAATCTTGGTCTTTGAGAATGCTAGGCAAGTATTCTACCTGTGAGCCACATCACTAAGCCACATGCTTCTTTTTTAAATTTTTAGAGTCCAGGAAAGACGACACAGACACCAAGGTGAGGTTCAAGCTTCTGTTTCTCTTTCTCCTTTATTCTCTCGTATTCTCTTCACTATGATGCTGGCTCACTATGATGCTGGTTCCTCTCTATTACACACTTCAGCTCTTTATATAGCGTTTTCCAACAGCCCTCCCCCCAGCCGGTATCAATCAGGGCTCACACACGTGCAGCGGCCAGGCAGAGTGTAGCTCATAGGCACGTAGCAAGATCATCAGGCTGGCAGCACCTGTTTGGCCTCTCCATACTTTGGAGTAAGCAAGCGGGAATCACGAGCCTTGGCAATCAGCCAAGAGTTGGAGTAAACAGCACGAGGTTTGGCAGCCAGCCAGGGCACCATCTGGCTGACTCAGCTGTGCTCACTTCCCACAGTGCAGTGCTCATGGAGCTCAGGAAAGGGGTCAGATCCCCTGGAACTGGAGTTAAGAACAGTTTTGAGCTGTCATGTGGGTGCTGGTCCTCTACATGCTTGTTTTGTGATGACCAATTATGACAGAAAGAACTGTAGCTCATCTCTATAAGCAGTTTACACAGTTCACCTGAACTTCCTGCTAACAATTCCCTATCTTAAGAGTATAAAGAATTAATTTTAAAAAGCTGTGGGAGTGGTGGCCATTGTGGGGCTTTGCATCCAGGAGTGTGGATGGATGTGATGGATGTGGTGTGGGATCCCAGGCTCAGGGCTCTGCTACAAGCCTGAAATGCTGCAGGATGAGAACTGCAGCTTCAACCACATCCAGTGGACCCAGATGGCTCAGTCCGTCTCACCTGGCCCAGGTGGCCCAGAAGGCCCCCGTCTCCCTTCTGCTCCCCATAGGGACAATCAGAACGAGGAAGTGAAGCAAGTGGCCAAGGAGAAGGTGAGAAAGGGCCACATGCCCCTTCATAGCAAACCTCAGCTGCACCTGCGGCCACCTACCCCCCCACCCACTCAGCCCGGAACTCGTTCAACGACAACAGCACTACTGGGACTGAGCTGACACCTTCCAGCTGATAATATTTCTGCTTAAAGATAAAGCAGATGGTCGAGATGTCACTTTGGCTGGTGTGTGTCAGGAATGATGACCAGGAAGTGTGAGGGAGAAGGTACTGGCATACACACATCTAGATCCCTGCACGAGAGGCCTTCAAGCTGAATATCCAGGAGGAGACTGAAAAGGGGGGGCAAAGCCTAAGGAGGCTGTTGCATAGGGCAGTCCTCTGACACATAGATGCCACCTTCCCAAGCTTGGTTGAGACCCTGTGCCTAAGATTGTCGCAGCTGGGCTTGTTAACTGTTCATGGTCCAGCAAGGAAAGGAGGGGCAGGGAGCATCCTGGGACCCTCTCCTGAGAGTCTACCCTAGTTCCATGTGACCTGAGGGAGGGGCTGAGGGTCTGGTGAAGCCCTCTTGAGCATGGGGTCTATGGGCCCCTCCTCCACCATGATGGAATGCTGATGAGCACATCCTGGGCAGTCACCACTGCTGCTGTGAGTTCATGGGTGCAGCGGCCACGTCTGTGCGGAAGACAGTGTTTTGTAATGCTCCCTCCCACCCCCTGGCTCTTACGTTCTTTCCACCCCCTCTTCTGAGATGCTCCCTGAGGCTTGGAAGGGGTGACATAGATACGCTGTTTAGGGGCTGGAGAGATGGCTAGGCAGTTAAGAGCACTGGCTGCTCTTGCAGAGGACCTGGGTTTGACTCCCAGCACCCACATGGTGGCTAATAGTCCTCAGTAACTCCAGTTCCAGGGGATCAGATGCCCTTTTCTGACCTCCTCAGGCATTGCATGACACAAGTGCACTTACATGCATGCAGGCAATACACTCAAATACATAAAATAAAAATAATAAAATATTTTTAGATATCCTGTTTAGGGCAGAGCACTGAGCAGTCGCTTATTCTGTGTGGTGAGTCTGCATTACCAGACGCTTCTCTGGCAGAGGCTGAGAGGAGCTCAGTTACTTTTCTGTTGCTGTGATAGAAACACTGACCAAAGCAACTTATAGAAGGAAGAGTTTATTTAGCCTATGGTTCCAAGGGGCAAGAGTCCATCACGGCGGGGAGGCATGGCGGCAGAGGAGTGTTGGGGGACCCTGCTGCTAAGGTCGCAGTCCACCGTGTCTGGATAGCTTGTCTGGATAGCTCTACAGAGCTCAGTGCTGAATGGAGGACTCCCTTTCTCAGCAGGGGCTTCCTGCTCTCTGCCTGACCTTCTTTGGAAAGTGTCTCCAAGCTCAGATGCCTGGCCTTATTTGGAACATGACCTTTGGCATAGTTACCAACAAAAACTGACCCCAGGTTTTTTGTGTATGATAATTAGGCATTGCTCTACAGCCAGATGATCGGTTCTCCTGCCACATTCAAGTAAAGCAGACTATGAGCACCTATCAGGTGAAGATTTGGCTTCACCCTGTATCTTCCCTCAACCCCCGCTGAATAAACTGAGCTGTCTCACTGAAGCTGACTCCCGGAACGCTTTTTCCGTCATACTCATGGGCCATTCTGACCCTCTTTGTGGCCTCTGCTCCCTTTGTTCTCGTGGATTGGTGGCCAACGATCCATGAGGGAAGGGAGAGACCCACAGAGGTGGCTGGAGCAGCAGAAGCTAAGCTCTCACATCATCACACAGGCACAGGAAGTAAGAGAGCGACTAGAGATCTGGCAAGGCTTAAGAACTCTGTAAGTCCACCCCGAGTAACAAGCTTCCTTCAGCATGGCCACACCTCTAAGACCTCCCAAAACAGCACCACCATCTGGGGACAAAATGTCCAAATACTTGGAGCCTATGGGGGACATTCTCATTCAAACCACCACAAACACTAATCAATGTATATGAACATAAACGTCTAGGAGGGAGCTGGACCCTAGACTGTATAACTGACTGGGAGCTGAGCCGACCACCATGAGCACAGTAGTGGGTGGTGCTAGCCCAGGAAAAGGGCAAAATCTGAAGCACAGCATCTACTGAATGTGTACAACCTCTCACTCCCAGTGTCAAGAAACCCTCAGCATCACCATCAGCAGTCAGGGACGTTTGTATTTAAAGCACAGCACTACAGACTCCACAGCCAGTAAAAGGATAACAGGGATGCTGGGGAAAGCCCTGCTCACAAATTTGATAAACGCCATGATACAGACTACACAGACGTACAGATACGTACATGCACACACGAACACACAGACATGCAGACACACATGGGAGAGAACACAGGTCTCTCACATCTGCTTCTCTGCCAGTCCCCACCAACCACCCAGTACTCCATGGATGACAATGGTTCCCCCAGTGCAAAGCCAGTTTGCCCTCCATCCTGGGCGGCACTAGGGCATGGACCAGAAGGACTCCTACATGGGCAACAGGCCCAGAGAAAAAAGACCTCCTGACTCTGAAGTTCCCCATCGAGCTTCACACTGTCACCAACTGGGACGATGTAAGATCCGGACCACACCTTCTACAACGAGCTGTGTGTGTCCTCCAAGGAGCACCCGGTGCTGCTCACCCAGGTCCCTCTCAACTCGTCAGTCATGAAAAGATGACCCAGATTGTGTGACAGACCTTCAGCACCCCAGCATGTATGTAGTCATCCAGGCTGTGCTGTCCCTGTCCTCCCTGGATACAGCACTGATATCACAGACTCCAGGAGGGAGTCAGCCACTCTGTGCCCATCTACCGGGGCTATGCTGTCCCCATCCTGAGTCTGGACCTGGCTGGCCGGGACCTGACAGATGACCTGATGAAGATCCTGACCCAGTGTGGCTACAGTTTCACCCCCACAGCCAAGTGGGAAATCCTGAAAGACTTCGAGAAGCTGTGCCACGTGGTCCTGGACTTGAAGCAAGAGATGGCCACCGCTGCGTCCTCCTCCTCCCCGGAGGAGAGCTGCAAGCTGCAGTTGGCCAGAGCATTGCCACTGGTAGCCAGCAGTTCCACTGCCACAGGTGCTCTTCCAGCCTTCCTTCCTGGGCACAGAATCCTGGGGTATCCATGAAACTGCCTTCAGCTCCGCCATGAAGTGTGATGCCAACATCCGCAAGGACCTCTATGCCAGCACAGTGCTGTCCTGTGGCACCACCATGTACCCTGGCATCACAGACAGGGTGCAGAAAGAAGCCACTACTCCTCCTGAGCGCAAGCACTCTGCCTGGACTGGCTCCATCCAGGCCTCACAGCCCACCTTGCAGCAGGTGTGGATCAGCAGGAGGAGTCGGGACCCTCCATTGTCCTCTGAAAATGCTTCTAAGCCGAGAAGCTGTTACTGAACTGGCTGAGCTGTTACACCTTTTCTCGACAGAATCTAACTTTCACAGAAAACAAACAAACAAAACCCCCAAAATGCCTGCTTTTGTTTGTTTGTTTTTGAGACCAGGGGTCCTCATGTAGCCCAGGCTAGTCTCTAACTCATTATGTAACCAAAGCTGGCTTGAATTCTTAATCCTTCTTCCTCCAGGGATGACAGGTGGGCACAAGCACACACAGATGATCACAGCACTTGGGAATCTGCGGCAGGAGGGTTACTGTGAATTTGAGGGCAGCCTGGGCTATGTAACAAAATATTATCTCAATAAAACCTATGAGGGCTGGACAGATAGTTCAATGGTTAGGAGCACCAGAGTTCAGTTCCCACCACCCATGTCAGGCGGCTCACAACTGCCTGTAACTCCAGCTCCAAGGATATGACACCTTCTGGCTTCTAGCCACTTGCACACACATGTGCGTACTCATACAAAGATACAGCACATGCATATAAATAAAAATTAAAACAGTGAGTTTACCCCCTAGCCAGATGTGGTGGCGCACACCTTTAATCCCAGCATATTGGCATGGCTTTGTTTTTTTTTTTCTAATTTTTAAAAATTTGGGTTTCTATTTTGGCACTTTTGACTCAGGATTTAAAAACTGGAACGGCGAAGGTGAAGCAGTCGGTTGGAGCAGGTCCCCAAGGTCTACAAAGCGACTAGGACTTTGATTGTACATGATTTTTTAAACAGTCATTCCAAGTATCTCTGGTTACAGGAAGTCCCTCATCCTCCCAAAACCACACCCACTCCCAAAAGGAGGGTGACGTCCACACCCTGAGTCCATGCAGGGAGGCAACGGCAAACATTTTCAAATCTTCTTCCTTAATACTTTTGTTTTTGGATGATCAACCATCTTGGCCCTTTCTTCTCGTTCCCCCCAACTTGAGGTCTGAAGGCTTTTGGTCTCCCTGGGTGGCTGGAGAGGTGGCTCAGCAGTTAAGAGCACTGGCTGCTCTTGCAGAGGACCTAGGTTTGGTTCCCAGCACCCACCAAGCTGTCTGTAACTCCAGTTCCAGGAGATCTGATGCCCTCTTCTGGCCTCTGCAGGTATTGCACAGGCAGGTGCCCTTACCATGCTTGCAGTCAAAACACTCATATACACAAAATGAAAATAGATAAACCAAAAAAATATTTTAAATGAAAAATAGTGTGGCATTGTCTAGCAAAACAGAAACACACATGAGCCATGCCTACCAGTACTGTCCCAGTGTCAAGAGTAGACAAGGTGTGTCTAGTATGTCTGTGTGTTCATGTGTGTACGTCTGTGTGTGTGTGTGTGTGTGTGTTTCAAGACACCTGCACAAGGAGGTACATTGCAGCATTATTTACACTAGCTGTGATTCAGAAACAACTCAAATGTTAAACAATGAAATTATAAATTATAAATGTATAGGTTTTATAGATAAATTATACTAATTTAATTATATTAACCTCAGCACTTGGGAGAGAGAGGCAGGCAGATCTCTGAGAGTTCCAGGCTAGCTGAGGCTACAAGGAGATATTCCAATTTAAATTAGTTGTAATAGCATGTAACAGTATGTACATGTAACCCTGAGTAAAGAAGCAAACCACACATGGAACTATGTGCCATGTGATTTCATCCAAATCAAGTACCCCATTGTTCAGTACTGTAACAAAACACCACGTGTGTCTTCAGTGAGGGCGCGAGAGGCATAACCACAAAGGAATCTGGGGCATAGGATAGACTGGCAAGACAGAGAAGCAGATCATGGGTTTAAGTGGCATGTTAGGGAAGAGGAGAGCTCTGAAGTCAATGGTCCATGCTAGGAGAGCAAACGAAGCCCAGAGCAGGTAGAGTGACTGAAACTGCAGACTGGAGGCCTGTGCACACAGTAGGGCAGAAAAAGCAGAAATTCAACCAATTGGATGTCTCAAAGAACAAATTTGACAAATCCTTGAGATATACTAACCAAGACAGAAAGAAAAAGTGAAGGTTACAAAGGTCAAGAAATAAACGGGAGGAAATTACCATCAATCCTACAAATATTAAAAGATTATACAAAAGCGCTACGAGCAACTTAATGTCGACAAATTAAAGGATTTGGGTAAAATGGATAGATTTCTAGAGTCACTCAAATTGTCAAACCTGTCTCATGAAGAAATAAATAGCCCAAATAAAGCTAATATGAGTAAAGAGGTCGCATTGGCAAAAACAAATTGTCGTACAGCTGGAGTTATAGCTCAGTTGTAGAGCACATGTTTAGAATGTGCGGGACCCTGAGTTCAATCCCCGTGGCCAAATATCTCTCCAGAAGTAAAGCCCAAGCCCACATGTCTCCCTCGTGAATTCTAGCCAACTTCTACACAAGTGTTAAGACCAATCCTTCACAAACTCTTCCAGGCCAGATGGGATTTATCCCAGAAAGCAAGGTTGATTTAACATCTGAAAATCAATTAATGAACTAGCAAAAGGGCTCAGTGGATAAAGGCCACCAATCCTAGTGACCTGCGTTCCATTCCTGGGACCCACAGAGCAGATGAAAGCCCACCAGTTGTCCTCCAACCTCCACATACACTATGGCCTGTGCACACGTGCTTGCATGCACTCATACAAATAAAATGTAATAGTTGTTTTAAAAATCACTTAATCTAACAGAGAATGAGAGATGATCACAGGACAGTAAAGATGTAGAAAAACTGAAGAAGAAAAAACCCTCTCAAAACACTGCTATCAACTCAGGCTAGAAGGACTTTCTACAACCTGGCTACAACAATTTATGAAAACTCATAGATAACATTATACTTGGTACCAGTAGAAGGACTACCTTACCCTCCAACTCAGGAGAAGAATCAAGGATATCTGTGCTTCCCACCTCTGTTCAACACTTTAATGGAGGGTTCTTGTCAGAGAATTTGGGCTAAAAATTTAAAGCCATCAAGATTGGAAAGGGAAGTAGAAAACTCTTTGCAGACAACGTGACCTTAAATACAGAAAATCACTGAAAGATTAAAGAACTGCTACAGCCAACAGACAATTCTATTCAGAATGTCAGTTTTAAGAAAAAATAAGTAAGGGAGTAAATAAGAGAGAGAGCTCATTGGTTAAGAGCGCTCAGTGCTTCTAGAGGACAAGAGCTCAGTTCCCAGCACCTACATCTGCTGGCTCACAACTGGCTCTAGCTTCAGAGGATCTAATGCCCTCCTCTGGCTTCTGAGGGCACCTTCACACAT